ATTTGGTCGAGCGTGAAAGCTTTGCTTCAGTTGGTTAATGCTAATACCCTCAGAACCCCTGGCCATCTGTTGAGAGATTTGATTACTGCAGTTTAAGGGCCGGGACATTGGCATATGTAATATTCTAAGGAAGACATGTTTGAAAATAACTGCTTTAAAAGCAAAGAAAGGAAGAAAAGCTTTTCTATGTACCCCTAAGACTTAAAGGGTAGGAGGAAGGTACTTTACATCAATGAATGACACTCACCTCCTTTTTGTGATTGCATACTTACCAAAATGGATTGTGGTTTGATTTTTACCCTTTCCAGAAACTTATTGAGACAAAATGTTGCAAATACATACATTTAAAACGATCAAAAATGCTGCACCTTCAAATGAAATATACCAAATACTATAATAAAAAAAAGTCTCAGCCAATAACGAAAATTGTTTGTCGTCTACTCACAATTTGTTGTACCACAAGATGAAGGTTTCAGTGTGGCTTTGCCGTCCAAGGTAAGTGAAAGTCCCCCCCCCTCCTTCCATATTAATTAATGACGTGACTTTGAAAGCGGCTTTAAAGTGAAATTTCGCTATTTTAGAAGTTAAACTGACTTAACCATTTAAAAAGAGGAAATAAGACTCAAGAGAAAAACCTTGTATTAATGTCAATATCTGCGCAAATGTGCACCCACCCATCCCCTAAACCAACAGCAGTCAACTGATAACAAATTAGGCTAAATGTTGGGTTAGGGGAGGGGTAGGTGTACAGTAGCTGATCAGAAACTGAGACAGATCCAAGACCTCTAAACACGTGACTCTTAAACTAATGTCAGAAATGCTAATCAGTTTTACAAATAAGCTTTAAATCGCCTGGAGATATGCACGAAAAGAAAAACATTTTTTTTTCTATATCATTATGTTCAGAATATTCCAAATATCAGCTCTAACACAAATTTAATTACCGTCATTACTAACCCTCGTCATCACACAAGCACAAACGAGCCTATCTTGTACATCCTTTCCCTTCCCCCAAGTCTTCGTTTAGTGTGGTAAGCTCGAGAGTAAGAAGGGGAACTAAAGAATAATTCTATTTATGCACTCGGCTTTGAGGTGCCACGGAAAACAAATGTTCGTTAGTCCAAACGCAGATGGTGATTAGTTAAAGTTTGTGGTCACAAGGGACACACAGCATAGAGTATTTTGCAGTTGAGGATGCAATGATTTGTATCGCAACCTAAATTGGATGTAAAAATGTCATAACCTTCAAATTCAGGCGCCTAATGCAATGACGGCGACCTCGTAAATCCGCTGAGGAAACAAAAAAGGATGCGAAGTTATTTGATTGTTTTAGCGCTCGAGCCAACATTATGCCGCTGTTTGCAAATATAACGATTCCTGATAGATAAAAGCTACTTTGCTTAAGTCAGAAAGCTTTGTAGCATTCTTGATGATGCTGTGAGTATGATCATAACAAATGAATTCACAAAGCTGATGGAAGCCATTTACGTTTATCATGGCTCATTTCCGTTGTTATTCAACTGCGAAGGAAAAGCACTGCATTTGTTCGCACATAGTGATTCATGGTTTTTGAATACATAGGATTACATCTGGGTTGAAGGAAGGAAAGTGTCAATCCTCAACGAGTGATGCACACAATATTTGCAGCATGATGACTACCAAAACTCCAGACAGAATGAATCATTCAGCGATAGAAAGAGTATTACAATTTTTAGAGAGCATGTACAAAACCTCTTAACGCATCGTTAAGCAGACATGTCGGGGCATGTTTCATTATCCAAGGCCTGAAGTTTTGGAAGATATAACCTGCATCAACTATCGCAACGACTAATAAGGAATAGTATAAATCATGATGATCCTCCTCCCAACTCTTCTTTGGTGGTTGTTTCAGTTGAGGTCTCAAAATGTTTCAAAACTGTAAAAAAGAGTCATCGCTCCGATGATCCAGCTCAAGAGAAGTTAATTCTACAAAACATACTTCCTTATTGGAACCCCTTGACCCCTCTTTGGAAGTCTAGCTAATATTTAACACCAGGAGCATCGTTCGTCGTATCGTGGTTCTTATCACAAATTTATTAAGACTCTTCAGTGCTGTGTGGACGGCAATACATAACAAAATGTATTGCAAACCGAAGAACAAACTTTCGAGTCATAAAAACACAAATATGGACAAAATGAATACTTTGGTGATGGAAATAGGATCAAAAGCGCCAGGGGGCAGAAACAAAGTCAAGAGCACATTTAAATGATAGAAACATTTGCCATTTTCGGCAGCAAAAACGTAAACAACTACAAGTTATTAAGCTCTAACGCATAAAGAGCATTTTAAGGAAGCATTTCACCAAGCTATCATATCTGATATGTTTCCTCCTTGTTTAATTAAACTCAGTTGTCCAAACTTAAACATAAAACCAATGATAAGCTATTGCAATGATCTAGTAGAATATTTTCAAGTCTCAAACTGAATTCGGCATCATTCGAATTCCAACACCGCTTCTGTTGGACGGCTCAGAAGAAACGTTGCAAAAGAAAGAAGAAGTTGAATTGTCTTAATGTGATTATTGATACAATTTCCCAATTTCCAATGCAGTATAAACTTGCTTACACATACAATCAAAAAAAAAAAAAAAGACTGAAGAACAAAACCTTTAAAGTCGTGACTTTGGTAACTACTGACAGAGGTTCTGATCATTAACAGGAATAAGACTAAAAACACAGACGCTAGGGGGCATTCACAAACCCACGACCACATTCTTGATTATAACAATTTTTGTTCAAGATAACTTCTCACACCAATTAACACCGATAACTTCTCACACCAATTATTTATGCAACTTACAGTAGATCCAATGAGTGGATACCTTAAAGGGGGTTTAATTTTCTCCCTCACTCTGATACTTTAATCATTTTCAACATCATTCGAAGCCATTCTCACTCTCATGTGACCGCTTTTAAAACGACACGCTAAGATAACCTGGCAAATGACGCGTCCTAGCGAGGTTTTTATCATAACTTTCCGACTTTTCAATGTTGTGTGCCCTGTTCATGATAAACGCAAAAGAAAGACGAAATCTAATAAAGACAAATAATTGCATACATTTCAATTACTACAGACCGAATGTTTCATTGAGCGATTGAAATAGCATCAAAAAGCGCCAGAGGACATGCATAAACTCTCAGAATGCATCGTTAAGCGAACATGTCGGGGCAGGTTTCGTTATCTCAACCTGCATCAACTTTTGGAGGTCGAAAACGATTGAAAACAATATTAATTGTGATGATAAGTGTTCTCCGTATCTTGGGCCTTGCGTTAATCGTGTTTTGTAGAATCAGGCTCACTTAATCCTTTTGCAAAACACCAAATCTACCATCTAGCTGGATCTAGAAAAGTTGGTATAGTAAGAGTGGTCTTTCGTTCGGTTTTTTTGGTACTATGTTGCCCGGTGAAGCCTAACGAATAATTATATTTATGCCCTCGGCTTTGAAGCACCATTGTAAACAAATGTTCGTTAGTCCAAACGCAGAAGGTGATTAGTTATTGTTTGGCGTCACTTCCGTTGATATTCAACTGCGAACGAACACCTCTGCATTTGTCCGCATAAAGTGATTAACAGTTTGTGAATTCATACGATTATATCTGGGTTGAAGGAAGGAAAGCGTCAATGTACAGCGAGTAATGCACACAATATTTGCAGTCATGATGACCACAAAACTCTAGAACGAATGAATCATTCAGCGACAAAAATAGCATCAAAATTGTCAGAGAGCATGCAAAAAGCCTCGCAACGCATCATTAAACAGATATGTCGGATCATGTTTCGTTATCCAGGGCCTGATGTCATAGAAAAACAAAACCTGCATCAACTATTGGAGGTCGAAAACGACCAAAAAGAATATCGTAAATCGTAATGATACTCCTCGCAACTCTTCTTTGGCTGGTTATTTCGGCTGAGATCTCAAAATGTTTCAAAACTGTGAACAAGATTCATCGCTCCGATGCTCCAGATAAAAAAAGTTAATTCGACCATACATACTTCCTTATTAAATCCGCTTGATCCCTCATGTGGAAGCCTAATATCTTACAGCCAAGAACAGCCAAGAACATGCCGTGGTTCTTATCACAAATTTATTAAGCCTCTTCAGTGCTGTGTGGACGGCCATACATAACAAAATATATCGCAAACCGAAGAGCAAATTTTTTAAGTCATAAAAACAATTACGGGCAACATGAATCATTTTGCGATAGAAATAGCACCTGGGGGGATAAACAAAGCCAAGAGCTTATTTTCATGATAGAAATATTTGCCATTTTTGGCAGCCTCACTTTCAATAATAATTCAAATACAATGTTTTTCTTCTAACTACATGAACAACCACAAGTTATTAAGCTTCAAAGTATGTATAGCATTTTAAGGAAGCATTTAACTAAGCCATCATATCTGACAGTTTTCTTCTCCTTGCCTAGCTAAGCTAATTGTCCAAACTTAAACACCAACTTATTGATAAGCTATTGCAAGAATTTAGTAGAATATTTTCAAGTCTCAAACAGCATTCAGCATCATTCCAAAAGTGCTCCTGTTGGATGGCTCAAAAGAAACGTTGCAAAAGAAAGAAGAAGTTGGAGTGTCCTAACGTGATTATTAATACAATTTCCCAATTTCTAATGCAGTATAAACTTACTTACACATGTAATTAAAAGAAAACGAAAAAAGACTGAAGAGCAAAACCTTTAATGTCGTGACTTTGGTAACTACTGACAGGGGTTCTAATCAATGACAGGAGTAAGATTAAAAACACAGACGCCAGGAGGGTATTCACAAACCCAAGACCACATTCTTGATTATAGCAGTTTTTGTTTAAGTTACTAAAAACGGCCTATCCTAGTAACCCTTTCCCTTCCCCCAGGATACCTGGCTCTCACGCCACTTGTTTATGCAACGATAGATCCAATAAGTGCAATCTTAAGACAAAAGAAAAAGGAGAAGCTAGTCATATGACTGATAAACTTTATTTCACCTCGGTCTGTGTCGTGTCAGCGAGAACAACAAGTACGTAAACTTCAAGGTAAGTACAGCGTTAAATCATTGTATTATTTTCGCTTTGAGCTGGGAGAGCTGAAGCTATACCGGATCGCTTTAGTGGCCGTCGATAGCTAATTTCAAATGACGAATATCACAGTTTTGGGATGACCAAATTTGTGACATTAACGTTTTAAAAACTTCCTTTGCTTTTCTTTTAAAATGTTTCCGGGGACTGATCTACTCGTTAGTTCCCACCTCGTTTCAAATGGCCTGATGTAATAATCACTTTGAATATGAAATTTAAATCTTCTTCCGCCGCTTGCAAATACAACGATTCTTGATAGATTAGAGCTACTTGACTCAAGTCAGAAAGTTTTCTAGCATTCTTAAAGATACAACGTAACGATAACAATGAAAACTCGCATATCCGGTGGAAAGATATTTCTTTTTACGGTCCGTCTTCTGTTCGGGTTTGACCATTTCCGCATTTGTCCACATAAAGTGATTACATGGTTTATGAATACATATGATAATATCTGAGCTAAAATAAGGAAGGCATTCTACAAACTTTTACAAACCTCAGTTGGGATACCGCTCATACCCTAAAGTGTATTCAATTTTTCTCCCCCATGGTAATACTTAAATTATTTTCAACATCATTCGAAGCCATTCCCACTCTAATGTGACCGCTTTTAAAATGACACGCCGGTATAACCTGACAAATTACGCGTCCTATTGGGGTCACTATCGGGGGTCCCGACTTGTCAATGTTGTGCGCACTATTCATGATAAACGCAAAAGAAAGACCAAATCTAATAAAGAAAACTAATTGCTCACATTATAATTATATACAGACCGAATGTTTCATTAAGCGATTGAAATAGCATCAAAAAGCGCCAGAAGACATGCATAAACTCTCAGAACGCATCGTTAAGCGAACATGTCGGAGCAGGTTTCGTTATCTTAACCTGCATAAACTTTTGGAGGTCGAAAACGATTAAAAACAGTATAAATTGTCATGATGCTCCTCTCGCCTCTTCTTTGCCTTTTTATTTTAGTTGAAACCAAAAAACTGTTAAAAACTTGGAACGAAATTTATTACTCCGACGCTTCAATCGAAAAAAAAGGTAATATTTCAATTGTATTATTTGACAGTTAACCAAGTTGATTGTCCTGTTGTGGTTGTTATCACAAATCTGTTAATTAGATATGCTAATCAGTGACAAACGTAGTATTACCGGGAGGCATTCACATTCCGACGAAACAATACGAATACAATTGCCTTATCTACTCCTCATCTTTAGACAAACATGATGGCTGTGATATTTTTAGAAAGAGATAAAAGTGAATAAGAAAGGCCTGTAAAATTTACAGTCGAACATTTATATATAACTATTGAAAGATATACTAATCAGGGACAGAAATAGGATTAAAAACTCTCTCACCAGGAGACATTCGCATTTCGACAAACGACTTCAAATACAATTGCCTAAAAAGACTCAAGAGAAAAACCTTGTATTAATGTCAATATCTGTGCAAATGTGCACCCACCCATCCCCCAAACCAACAGCAGTCAACTGATAACAAATTAGGCAAAATGTTGGGTTAGGGGAGGAGTAGGTGTACAGTAGCTGATCAGAACTGAACTGAGACAGATCCAAAACCTCTAAACACGTGACTCTTAAACTAATGTCAGAAATACTAATCAGTTTTAGAAATAAGCTTTAAATCGCCTGAAGATATACACGAAAAGAAAAACATTTTTTTTTCTATATCATTATGTTCAGAATACTCCAAATATAAGCTCTAACACAAATTTAATTATCGTCATTACTAACCCTCATCATCACACAAGCACAAACGAGCCTATCTTGTACATCCTTTCCCTTCCCCCAAGTCTTCGTTTAGTGTGTTAAGCTCGAGAGTAAGAAGGGGAACTAAAGAATAATTCTATTTATGCACTCGGCTTTGAGGCGCCACGGAAAACAAATGTTCGTTAGTCCAAAGGCAGATGGTTATTAGTTAACGTTTGTGTTCACAAGGGACACACAGCGTAGAGTATTTTGCAGTTGAGGATGCAATGATTTGTATCGCAACCTAAATTGGATGTAAAAATGTCATAACCTTCAAATTCAGGCGCATAATGCAATGACGGCGACATCGTAAATCCGCTGAGGAAACAAAAAGGATGCGAAGTTATTTGATTGTGTTAGCGCTCGAGCCAACATTATGCCGCTGTTTGCAAATATAACGATTCCTGATAGATAAAAGCTACTTTACTTAAGTCAGAAAGCTTTGTAGCATTCTTGATGATGCTGTGAGTATGATCATAACAAATGAATTCACATAGCCGATGGAAGCCATTTACGTTTATCATGGCTCATTTCCGTTGCTATTCAACTGCAAAGGAAAAGCACTGCATTTGCCCGCACATAGTGATTCATGGTTTGTGAATACATAGGATTACATCTGGGTTGAAGGAAGGAAAGTGTCAATCCTCAACGAGTGATGCACACAATATTTGCAGCATGATGACTACCAAAACTCCAGACAGAATGAATCATTCAGCGATAGAAAGAGTATTACAATTTTTAGAGAGCATGTACAAAACCTCTTAACGCATCGTTAAGCAGACATGTCGGGGCATGTTTCATTATCCAAGGCCTGAAGTTTTGGAAGATATAACCTGCATCAACTATCGCAACGACTAATAAGGAATAGTATAAATCATGATGATCCTCCTCCCAACTCTTCTTTGGCGGTTGTTTCAGTTGAGGTCTCAAAATGTTTCAAAACTGTAAAAAAGAGTCATCGCTCCGATGATCCAGCTCAAGAGAAGTTAATTCTACAAAACATACTTCCTTATTGGAACCCCTTGACCCCTCTTTGGAAGTCTAGCTAATATTTAACACCAGGAGCATCGTTTGTCGTATCGTGGTTCTTATCACAAATTTATTAAGACTCTTCAGTGCTGTGTGGACGGCAATACATAACAAAATGTATTGCAAACCGAGGAACAAACTTTCGAGTCATAAAAACACAAATATGGACAAAATGAATACTTTGGTGATGGAAATAGGATCAAAAGCGCCAGGGGGCAGAAACAAAGTCAAGAGCACATTTAAATGATAGAAACATTTGCCATTTTCGGCAGCATGACTTTCAAAAATAATTCACATACAATTTTTTTCCTCTAACTACGTGAACAACCACAAGTTATTAAGCTTTAACGCATAAAGAGCATTTTAAGGAAGCATTTCACCAAGCTACCATATCTGATGTGTTTCCTCCTTGTTTAATTAAACTCAGTTGTCCAAACTTAAACATAAAACCAATGATAAGCTATTGCAATGATCTAGTAGAATATTTTCAAGTCTCAAACTGAATTCGGCATCATTCGAATTCCAACACCGCTTCTGTTGGACGGCTCAGAAGAAACGTTGCAAAAGAAAGAAGAAGTTGAATTGTGTAAATGTGATTATTGATACAATTTCCCAATTTCCAAAGCAGTATAAACTTGCTTACACATACAATCAAAAAAACAAGAAAAAAAAAAAAGACTGAAGAGCAAAACCTTTAAAGTCGTGACTTTGGTAACAACTGACAGAGGTTCTGATCATTAACAGGAATAAGACTAAGAATACAGACGGTAGGGGGCATTCACAAACCCACGACCACATTCTTGATTATAGCGATTTTATTTCAAGTTACTAAAAAAAGGTTCTTTCTCTTCCGCCAGGCGACCTGGTTCTCACGCCAATTGTTTATGCAACAGTAGATCCAATGAGTGCCATCTTAGGACAAAAGAAAAGGGAAAGGCAAGCCATCTGACTGATAAACTTTACTTCACCTCAGTCTGTGTCGTATCTGCGAGAGCAACAAGTAAGTAAACTTCAAAGTAGGTACAGCATTAAATCATCGTGTTATTTTCACTTTGAGTGAAGCTATACCGGGTCGCTTCAGTGGCCGTCGATGACTAATTTCAAATGACGAATATCAGAGTTTTAGGATGACCAAATTTGTGAAATTAACTTTGTAACAACTTCCTTTGCTATTCTTTTATAATGTTTCAGGGGACTGACTTACTAGTTAGTTCCCACTTAGTTTCAAATGGTGTGATCCAATAATCAATTTGAATATGAAATTTAAATCTTTATTCTTCCGCCGTTTGCAATTATAACGGTTCTTGATAGATTAGAGCTACTTGACTCAAGTCAGAAAGTTTTATAGTATTCTTGAAGATACACCATAACGATAACAACGAAAACTCGCATATCTGATGGCAAGATATTTTCCTTTTAGGGCTTATCTATCGCAATTGTCCACATACACTGATTACATGGTTTGTGAATACATATGATTATAAGTGGGCTGAAATAATAGGGCATTTTACAAACTTTTATAAGCCTCAGATGGGATACCGCTCATACCTTAGAGTGGGTTTAATTTTCTTCCTAATTCTGATACTTTAATTATTTTCAACATCATTCAGTTCGAAGCCATTCCCACCCTCATGTGACGGCTTTTAAAACGACACGCTAAGATAACCTAACATATGGCGCGTCCTAGCGAGGTTTTTATTATTACTTTCCGACTTTTCAATGTCGTGTGCACCGTTCATGATAAACGCAAAAGAAAGACGAAATCTAATAAAGAAAAATAATTGCACACATTATAATTATTACAGACCGAATGTTTCATTGAGCGATTGAAATAGCATCAAAAAGCGCCAGAGTACGTGCATAAACTCTCAGAACGCATCGTTAAGCGAACATGTCGAGGCAGGTTTCGTTGTCTTAATCTGCATCAACTTTTGGAGGTCGAAAACGATTAAAAACAGTATTAATTGTGATGATGCTCCTTTCGCCTCTTCTTTGGCTTTTTATTTTAGTTGAAACCAAAAAGCTATTTAAAGCTCGGAACGAAATTTATTGCTCCGACGCTCCAATCGAAAAAAAAAGGAATATTTTAAAACTATTATTTGACTGTGGAGCAAGTCGATTTTCGTATTGTGGTTGTTTTCATAAATCTATTAATTAGATATGCTAATCAGTGACAAACGTAGTATTACCGGGAGGCATTCACATTCCGACGAAACAATACAAACACAATTGCCTTATCTACTCCTCATCTCCTCAGGCATGATGGCTTTGATATGTTTAGAAAGAGACACAAGTGACTAAAAAAAGCCTATCCTAGTAATTACCCCTTTTCCATCCCCCATCTATCCTTTTCTCAAGCCATTTGTTTATGCAACTTTATATCCAATAAATGCTTGCTTAGGACAAATGAAAAGGTGGGGCTTGTAACCTGAAGGATAAAATTTACAGTCGAGACTTCATAAATAACTACTGTAAGATATACTAATCAGGGACAGAAATAGGATCAAAAATACTCACACCAAGAGGCATTCACATTCCGACAAAAGACTTCAAATACAATTGCCTTAAGAAGTTCGAATCTTTAGAAAAGTATGTCGGCTGTGTTATCTTTTAAAGAGATACCAGTTACTTATAAAAAGCCTATCCTAGTAACCTTTTCCTATCCCCCTCGTGTCCTGTTCTCACGCCTCTTGTTAATGCAACCTTATTTCCAATAAATGCTAGCTTTAGAAAAGGGGAAGGCTCGTCATCTAATGGATATATTTTTTATGCTTCAGACTGTGTCCGCGTATCTGCGAGAACAACAATTTGGTAAACTTCAAGGTAAGTACAACGTTGAACTATTCTATTACATACACTGAAATTTATTTTTTAACAACTTCCTTTGCTATTCGTTCTTAATATTTTAAGAGATTGATTTACTTGTTAGTCCCAGCCCGGATTCAAATGGCCCTGCTCCAATAATCAATATGAAAATAAAATTTAGATATCTTTTTTCTGAATAGTATCGTCACAAAACTTTGTTTCGTTGGGAGTCTTGCGTTTTTTCTAGTAGTTGTCTGATTTTAAAAGCCATAGAGCCAAAATTGTAAAGCCCTTTGTAAATCAAACGATTCCTGATAGATAAGAGCTACTTGAATTAAATCAGAAGGCATTGTAGCATTCTTGAAGATGCAATTTAACTCTAAAGCCAACTTCTTTTTTCTTGTTCGACTGCAAATGATCGCCTCCTCATTTGCCCGCATAGGAGTGTCGAAACGTTGACCATACGGCAATGCTGCACCTACACTAAAGAAGTTGTTCTCTATTAAAATCCCTATTTGAGTTTAACTTGAATCAGATGACAAAATTCACTCGTTTTCCGATCAGTTTGAACGGCTCGACGATCGCGACGATGGCCTCGGCAATCTCCGAGGGAAGGAGCAACTTGCAGTGAGACTGTCCGTTAATTTTTCGGTGAAAAATCATCGTGCCTCGTGATACAGCTGATTCTTTCGTCAAAAGTTCGCTTTTGGTTTACTAAAGAAATTTCTCTGCAGCAACAAACTCTAGAACACTGACCGAGAGGAACCTTCGCCGCACATGGTGCGAAGGAATAAAATGTTATGGCAACAGAAACGGTAAGAGATACTCGTCCTTCACTTACAGTTCGCCTTAGAAAACAAAACACAAACGCAGCAAACTAAACATACAGTAACGGGAACTTTTTTGTTCTAATCTTAACCTAAACACCACAGGCGAGAAACCGTCTTTGTCAGTCAAAATCTTCGTTTGATGCAACGCGTTTCTCCTTCGGAGGGCTGAACAGAACTCGCAACTTCCATTTCTTCTCTACTACTTGAGTACGATGTACCACAACTCTGAGTAGAGCTTGCTGAAGGGAGATATACATCACTATCGCACATTATTTCAAAGAATATTTAAACGCTGACTGATACAAAAGTACAAGAGATGTGAAAAATTGGTAGCTGTTAAGTGAGAGTTTTCACAATTTTCTATGTCATCACCCGCTAATTCGTTACCAGTCCACGGGACACTTTCAAGACAAAATAAGAGTACTTTAGGGCCCGTGAAAACGATTTTTAAGTTTTTTGAAACTTTTAAGAAAGAAAGGAATCGGAGAAGGAATAGAGGTCAGCCTTTGCCTTTGGCCATTTTTTTAGGGTGTTATGCGAACGTCAGCGTGTTTTCGCGGGAAATTAAAGAACCCCCCACATATCTCAGTTCTAAAAATAAAAAGATACGGAACAGGGTTGACAACAACCTGGAAATAGGATCAAAAACGCAGAAAACCCACAGAACGCGTCATTAAGCAAACATGTAAGGACAGGTTTCGATATCTTAAGCCTGACGTTTAAGAAAGAAAAAAAAAACCCTGCGTCATCTTTCGGAAGGTCGCAAACGATTTAAGATAGCGTAATTTCTGATGTTCCTCTTCCTTCCTCTTCTTTGGCTGTAACAGTGAGAACTTCAGTAATTTAGAAAGCTTCGTTAGCACAGTATTAAAACATTGCATTGTTAATCTGAATAGGTCGCTCAACCGTCGACAGTTAGTTTTAGAGGAAGAGTATCACAAACGAACAACTTGACAAAATCGAAGTTCATTTTGTTTCCCATTTGCGCACCAGGATCTACTTACTAGTTGCAGTAGATGAACCATAACGGATTTCAAACTCCAGACTGTTTAGGAATTCTCTTATTGCTTGCCATTAGAAGAAATCTTACGTTTTCTTCCAAAAGGAGACGAGTTTGAGTCGATGAGGTGTTTCATATCTGTTTGTTTGCTTAAATTGGGCCTTGTGGCATACGCACACACAACGAGTTTTTGGGGACAATTTAAGAATTATTTGCATTGTTTGTTTCTTAATCCTTAGCCGCAGAATGAACCGAATGAAGCTGGATCATAAACGCTTTATTTTGTTTATCAGGTCGCGGATCTCGTGTGCCTAATGATTCATAAATCCCGTGCTTGAGATTTTAACAGTGTTAAAATCTTAAGCACATTTATATTAAATGAATTTATTATTTAAAACTGTATGACTACAGACAAAATGTATAATTTGGTGATGGAAATAGGATCAAAAGCGCCGAAAACCCACAGAACGCGTCATTAAGCAAACATGTAAAGGCAGGTTTCGATATCTTGAGCCTGACGTTAAAGGAAAAAAAAGGCAAAAACCCTGCGTCATCTTTCGGAAGGTCACAAACGACTTAAAATAGCGTAATTTCTGATGTTCCTCCTCCTTCCTCTTCTTTGGCTATTTATTTTTTAGTTGAGACTTCAAAATTGTTTAAAACTGTGAAACATGTCGTTGCTCCAATGCTCCAGATAAGAAGTTAATTTTACAAACTATACTTCCTTGTTTAAACCTCCTGACCTCATGTGGAAACCAGGCAAATTGCTTTTCCTGTTGTGCTTATTATAAAAAAAAAAAGCTTTTAAAGACTCTTCAGTGTTGTGCACGTGAACTATGTAATACATGCAAAAAAACAAAACAGTGAAAACGGAAGAGCAAAACTGCACATTAACGCAAAAATTTGTCCACATTGTTTTTAATTCATATCTCAACAACTATTTACAGGAATAACACCTACAATATGTCATTTTAAAGTGTATAAAATGGGCTTCTCAGGAAAAAAAAATTCATCATTGAAACCCAGGACTTTCCTAAAAAGTAAAATTTAAAACACAAAATAAGTAAGACATAGTGTAAAACTTGAGGTAAAAGTCACTTTTCCTCATAGGTATTGGTTAATCAAGATTAATTGATAGCAGAAGTTAATTATTAACATGTCAGCAACATTTCCTGAAAATCTGAAAGAAAAAGAATAAATAATGAATTTTTTATGAATTTTTTTGTGTAAGATTTAATGACCAAAGGTAATAAAGGCTACGAAGACGCAAAACCTATGCTAAGCAAAAGCGTAAAGCACGAAAAAATACAATTACATAATAACTTGAAATCCTGGTAGCTACAAAGGTTGTTATTGTTGTTGTTGCATGACGTAGGCGACCTGATGTCATTATTTGTCGATAACTCCAGAGGAAACGGGTATTCTTGTTATCTGTGCTCGTTTTTCTAAGGCTACAGGAAGTCTTTTCAACAATTTGTCTTACAACTGCGTAAGCAACATCACGTCAGTAAGCTTCAAGGTATTCGAAGACTCGACTTACACTAATGGTAAAGTAATGACGTAGATAAACTAAAAAATATGTAACATATTTCTGCCTTCTGTTAGCCAAGCAGATTTTCAGGGTTGGACTTTTCTCCAGTTCGTCAGTTCAGCCGAGCTGTTCTATATTTTCCGTTTCCCTTCCATCCCTCTTCGCTCTAAACCTTCCGTCACATATTACGAGAAGTCGCCGCTATTATCAGATGGTATGAGAGAATTAAGTTCGCAGGGTTAATTAACAGTTGAAAAAATGAATAAAAAAATAGCTTTTGCAGCAAATCAAACTGTGCATTTTACATTGGACGTTTGTGTTCGGATGAAAGGAAACCTCAAATGGGTAAAGTTATTGTGTAATATTCACTCAATATGGCGTAAAATGCATTTAGGTCCCAATCAGATGAATTTCTCTCTAAACTAATTTAAAATATCTTTGTTTTTTTGCTTGTTCTGCAATGTGAAGTAAAACGTAGACGCATCAAGTTCCAGAAATGCCCTTCTAAGTACCCTTCTTTTGAAAGACGAAAGAGCGTTTTCTTTTTAATCAGAGGTTCCAGCGTTTAAGAACGATCAGTATTTCTTCGTCGTTTCCTAATCTCACTAGAAGAACAATTATCACACTGATAAAATAGTATATGGAATACCTCATTCATTTTGTTTTTTAGATTTTGTTTTTATTTATTTATTTTTTAATGTTTAGTACTATATTCATTTAACTATATTTTTACTGTAGATAAATCTAATGTTTATAGATATAAAGATGGATTCACAAAGAGTTGATGCCGTCGAAATGCATGAACACGAAACAAAGGGAGCTTCTGAAGGGGATGTTTCTTCAAAAAAAACAAAGAGGGTAAGAAAGTCTTAGATGAATATCAGATCAAAACAGCACCAAACTTAGTTCATGAACAATTGCCACCTCCTGACATCCATTTTGAAATAGAAAAATTAAATCCCCTAAACACTGGGTTTTATTCAGAACTAGGGTCGTCTTGTCTAGTGTGCGTCTCTCTTTCTCATTTATCTATAAAACTATAATTATAATGATAATTATAAACAATTATTCACCGAAGTGGAAGGTAGAAGTGATGAATAGTTACCTGGACGCATCGCGGCACAGTAATAGTAATACTCATAGTATTATTAATGCTAACTAATCTTTATCATCGCTATTTATAAGCATTATTCATTAGCAATATTCATAAGCTAGATTCATTAGCATTATTCATAAGCTAGATTCATTAGCATAATTCGTTGGCATTATTCAGTATTAATGAATAACGAATGCTGAATAATGATTTGATAATGGACAATGTTTCATGACGTCAAGGTCTGGACAAAACTGGCGCTGGCCCGGATTAGAATGGATCAGATTTTAAATTTTGTTATTATTTCCGCTGAATATTAAAAAAAACCTTTCAGTTCACATTTTCTACTTAAAATTTATATTTCCTGAATCATATCATCTTATTTAATTACAGCTTTAAATCGCTTAACCTATTATAATTGTCTCTGAAGGAAAATCTCCACAAGTTAATGAAAAGTTCCATTTAGTTCCAATTTAAGACAAAACGCAAAGAAACAAATTTAACTTCCATTTTCTCGTTTTATGTTTAATGACACACCCCACTCCCCTGAAAATTTTTCTAGGGGAGCCCAGATGGACACTGGTTGATAGCCCTGTCCCTGTAGAGCATGTTGATACCCACATCCCGCAGCAGCATTCCTGGTCAGTTTTACTAGTTTTGGCTGCATTCTAGGAACTCCCATGAAACCTTTGTACTTCTTTCCTGAAAATAGCAGTATCCAGGCCTTTGATCCACTTGCTCCTCGAAAAAGGGATGCCATTTCCCACCTTGATGCAATTGTATCAAAGAATTATTCATTTAATACAACGGATGATGAAAGGAGGACTAGGGAAAAGTAGGAACACAACGGGAAATGAGCCACTTGCCGACTCAGATTGTCCGTGATAAATGTAGCTAAACTGTCGGTGAATTATAATAGTTAATAAATGGGATTAATCTTCAAGTTCGTAACAAGCTATCCCCCGGCACATTCTTCTAATATTTTTTTATTGATTCTTCCGAGTAAATGAAGAAACTGTGAAATAAAAGGAAAGCTATATCTTCCTATCTTATGCAAAAATACTTAAATTTAAATAATCTCAGCCAAGTTTCGATTTGGAGAGCAGTATGCTAATCTTTGAGCTAATGTGTTACTCAAAAAAGGGTAAGCAATGAAATTGAAGGCAAATCATGTTTTAGACTTAATCAAGATATCTTGAGACTGTTACAATGGACTGATACAACCGTGTAACATTTCCCGGTTAAAAAGAAGAGAGGAATTCAGTTTACTTGCTCATTGAATCTCGTCTACTTTTGTAGGGTCGGAAACGGAAGCTGCTTTTGGTTGCAATGGGGGGGGCACTGGTCCAGAGCCTCGCCGCTCTAGTTTGTAGTGTGGTTGCACTTTCCTCGAGGAATGGGTAAGGTTTAAAAAATCTTCCTAATTCAAACCTAATATTTAGTCAGTTAAGTGGATGGTTTGTCTCCTACTCATTGATAATTGTAAAGGTACTAAACCAACAGTAACCTTTATGTAAGTTTTTTTTTTTCAGAATGCAAGCATAACTTTGTATTTTAAATTTTTAAGCACCGATGAAAAGCCTCATCCAGTGAAGATCAAAACGACATATCAACTATGGAACCTTGGGCAAGGTGGTTTCGTTGTGTTGAATAAAAATGGTACCGTAGATTGCAAAGGGACTATTGGGGCCCCTGCGAGTACGTAGATTGATCTCTTTTTTACTAGTGCAACTATGAACTGCCCATATCTAATTTAATGTTTGTGAGTATCATCTTTGAAAAAGCTGTCGGGGTTTAAGTAAGGTACCATTCAGCTCACAAACGCCTACACTGAGACCGCTTTACTAAAAGTCCAAATCGATATTCTCGATGCAATAGATGAGAACAAGTGTGTTTGCTCCTCATGTTGGCCATGTTCATTGGGTTGGATACCATCGATTGCAAACTTTTCGGATAGATCGTGAAATCGTTTTAAATTAAGAGGAGGTGATGATTGATGGTAAGGAGTGAGTCTGTAGTGAACTCAGTGATGATACCTAAGTTTACTTTGCTTGAGGCCCAAGAAAGTCGCCCAAAAGCTTCCTCGGCACGCACATAAGCATGTGCACGTCATGCCGAATCAAAGAAAAAGCTGAGCCACTTATTCTGAGTGGAGCCATCTTCATATTCCTCACATTTTTTCAGTGACAGAGCCGTAGCCGAAAGCTCGCGGAAATCTTCCAGTTTCATTGAGGGTGAATTGTAAAGGGAAAGTGACAGCTTATCCATTTAGATAAACCATTTACTGTAATTCGAGGAAATCAAACAAAACAGCAGGAAATATAGGTGTGCTTTGGCCGAGAAACGATTTAGTTTGCTCCTCTATCTCGATGTTTACTTTTGCGGTCTAACAAATTTCCCATCTGATTAACGGGTTCTCCAAAGACAAATTAAACGCAAATCAAATTATTGCGCGCGTTCTTTAAGAAAGAAAAACCAAAACAAAACAAATGTATGACAAAAACAAATGCTACAGATCCGACAGTCTATAAATCTGTGCAGTGGTCATGCTGCAAGCCATACAATAGTTAACTGGCTGACGAGTCAAGTCTAAAGGTTACATGATGTTTCTAGTTTGAATGGCTTCAGATTTTATCACCGGAGTAACGTTACCTAACCATTCTTGACGCTGAAGAAAATCCGGATAAGCTACTCGACTCGACTCCTTCTTCCATCTAAGTTTGCAGTTGATGTGCCAGCATAGTAATTTCGTTCGATGCGTTCTCGTCTCTTCGTGCGCTCCTTTTTACTTACTTATTGATTTACTTTATTAAGAGTTATTGCCAGAATTTATAAGTATGGAGCTACGCTTTGTGCGCGCTGCTAGCTCTGCATTAACTTGTCTCCGTCGCTGTGTTTTTTAAATATATGTAATTTTAGTCTCTTTTCTTTGAATCGTAGTTAGGTCTTATGATAACACAACTGGTGCTTGCACAAACTGCATTGCCCTTGGCGTCAGCAATTTATTACTGGTAGGGGATGCAGCAAGCAGAGCTATCAAAGCAGAGGTAAGAAATGAATATTTACTTACTCATTCACCCACTCAAACGGCACTCATTCTTCACAAACCAATTCTTAAACCACACTTAATCTATATTATGTGTTAGGTGTAGAACGAACCTATCCTCTCTGACGGGTAGAATTAGATCTCGAGATGAAGAATGTAATTATTTGGTTTACTTTCCAACGTAAAAATGAATGAATGCCAATCGGCAAGGCGAGTTGGATTTTCTAACCATAACGGTTATAGTAATCCATAATTTTAACAAAAGAAGCTGGATAATAGCAAAGAAGAGATATAAATGAACCTTGTGTCCAATAGGGAGAACCTTGCTTACTAAATTCAGTTAGGGTGATTGAGCGCTGTGTGGTTGTTACAGAAGAAGAGATATGTTACTTTTCATCTACCCGAAAAAAATAAAATCTTAGTGTGAATTGTTTAGCTCGGTTCAGGAGAAAGGGGCGTCTCCAGGTTAATCTTGCTTTAGTCATCATTGGAACTGTGACGTACATTCATTGACTTTAAATATGGCAAGCAGATGTGTTACTCGTTATCTTCCGCAAAATTTGGAAATAAGATATAGACAATATGATATAATTTTGTATGTAGTTTGAGTAAAAAAATAAAAATATACTACCAAGTGGCTGATTCGTCAGTTGAAAATTTCGGTTGGTTTTTCCCTTTTCCCGGAGCTCTCGGGGCGATTCGGAAATATCCTGATCCTAAAAAAAGTAAAACGCTATATTAGGCATGTTTCTTGTTAATGGTTCGTCTCATTGTTCCCTTTAAAGTCTACAGTTGCCCACTTCGAATTCACGTAAGAAAAAAGGTTGCGCAAGATCTAAAATTGTTCATAATTTCTGTGCACAGTTCTCACGGTTGGCTCTCTCTCCCATCTCTCGAAGATAATGAAGTCTTTCTTGATTCTTATTAAGGGAAATCTTTTTGTTATATAATAAATCCCTTATTATTATAATAATAATAATGATAATAATAAACAATCTTTAAGGAGGAAGCGCCCGTCACGTAAATACGTGGTTTTCAGGGAGGTCCTCCGTAAAAAATAAAAAGTATTAAAAGCTAAAATAAGAAATACAAATGTCACAGATCTAAAATATAAAATATAAGGCGTTTATCTAAAAATTTTTATCCATCATTTAAAATATTTATCCATTAAGAATTTTGTAAGGTTTTCCTTAAATTGTGCATGGCACATGGCATGGCACAATTATTGACCAAGCTTGCTCAGTCAAGATGGCTTGATTTTACCCTTGCTGTTACTCTTTTGTGCGTTTTTTATGGCCCTCGACTCCGTCCATATAAAAGCAACACCCGCCCACTCTCTACCCATATTGACCTCATCCCTGGTCAATAACGCATGTGTATTATCATTCTCTTTGTTGGCTACTAATGACGTCCCTTCGCTAAACTGAGCACGCCTCATTTAGCCAAGCGAAGCGCGTATTATATTGCTCCGTGGCGTGACATTGGCAGTGATGAGCTACAAATACTAAAAAAAGATGGAGTCATCCCTTTCTACCTGGTGCAGCAATTTTGATACTGCACTTTCTGTCCGTGTTTTAGCCTGTGTCTATATTGCAGCACCGTGGTATTTCTTGCGGGTCTCGTTGCCGTAATATGGCATAGTAGTGAAATAATAATAATAATGCGCGCTTATTAAGGATAGAGGATGATTGTTTTTAATTCAAAATTATCTTCTTCACCTTCAATTTGCAAGAATATAGGAAAAATTAATGGATACGATGAATCTTTTGCGCCTGATTACTTCTGGAGCTTCACGATGTTCAAGCACCATAATAGCGGCCTCTACGTGGGATGCGACAACTCTGGAAAAGCAACACTGCTTGGAGATACGGCAGTTGAGTATCCAGATCCTCGAACTCTTTTTGTCCTTACCAAAATTAACTAACTTCAAAAGACAACTGATGAAGAATCATGGCCTTTCACGATTTTTCACTGCAAAGTCAGCTTTTATGCAACAATTACTTTTTGGGAAGGTATTTAAATTTCAATATTAAAACTAGTATACAGATGTCTTGCATAAATATATGTCCGACATTAACTTTAATCGTATCAAGAGACAAAGGTTGAACAGGCCAAAGGTTTACTCTGGCCTTCATGGTATACTCATTGTTATCATGGAATTGATATGATCAGTAGGATACGCAAGTATACATAGAAGAGCTCCAGCTCTAAAATCTAGTTGAACCGGCACTCATCGTCCTTAATCTGTTGCAAATCAACTGCATAATGCACTCCTATCACAAACAGTTTATATGAAATTGTTTTATCTAATCTGCGAATAAGAAGGATGATGACATATTGATCAACTGGTCATCATTCCCAGGTTAGAACATTTTCAGTTTTTATATATACTGATTGTCATCTGCTTCCCTAATGAGGAACAAAGTAGAAACGAAGATTTCAGTTAGTAACACCGCCTAACTAGTTTATAAAAGGCACGGATTGACTACCAGTCTCAGTCTGAAGTCTAGTTAGATTTATTCTTATTACTGAGTTAACTTTTAAAGATAAGTTAAAAAATTGTTTCTTTAATTATACGAAAGTAACACAACTATATATCTTCAAGAACTTAAAATGTATAACAGTGCTTTTAATGTGGCGTCAACGTTTCTCGCGCTATTTTTTTTATAATGTTTAAAGCATTTAGTTTCAAAATCTAAATTGAAAGAACTTTGGACATGAGCGTTCTTACTAGGACACTGGTTTCAGCTGTTTTGTAATTCCGGAGGGACAAACCTCTAAATGTCTAAACAAACTTGGAATTTTCCACTACCATGAAATTTGCCTTTCTCTAAATCAAGTGAAACAATCTATCAAAGATACTTGAATTTACAAGCGTATGTTTCATGCCTATTAGTCCAAAAGTTCCATACAAAGACAGACAAAAATGGGAGAAAACGTCATACGTAAACCATAGTTTTCATAGAAAAAAAAGAGGTTTTCCAAGCTGCTATTGCTGCTGTTAAAGATAGTTAATATAGAAATTGCAATTTGGGTGGCTGAGAAACACGATTTTATTTTCAGTTGTCAGACGCTGTTGAGACGTTTGTTTATTTTTAACGTGTATTTGCACGTATGCAAAAAGCTAGACACAATTTTTCACGAGCCAAAACCCACCCATCATTCTAAGGGTGTTTTATAGCATATACATTTGATATTCTTTTTAGCGCACGAAAAATTGTTGAGAATAAGTTGTTATTTTGTTTGTATCTTAAAGAAGGTCCTTGACTTTCATATGAGGAGATTGTGTGGCCATTGTGGGGGTATACCATGGGAGTAAGGAATCGGTCATTATTTATCACCAATGGTGGGGGGGGGAGATGGCAGGGTTGAGGATTTGGTTGTGTCACAATAGAATTTGTCTGACCCTCCCTTGAGGCTTTATAGTTTTCCAAAGACAGCATGCCCTCTATATTTTGTTATAGACGGCTGACCTCCCCCCTCCGGTGATAAATAATAACTTAATAATGATAAAAATAAAAGAGAGAGACTGTTTTAACTAAAATATTTCTTCGGCCCACATACCTAAGTATGCTGGTGGGAAAAGAGCATTGAAGGTCCCTTGCTTATGGTTGCATACTTAACCAAACGGATCACGGTTCTATCGTTAGCTTGTTCAGAATTAAACCTCTGGATACAAAATGCTGAACAGACGTTCGTTTACACCTATTAAATAAGCTAGACGACCGATCTCCTTGTAAATATACGCATTAGTAGTCAAAAACGAGTATCTCAACCAGTGAAAAAACTGTTTGCATGTTAATTACAATTTATTGTATTGTAATGATTTTCTAACTTTAAATTAAATTAAAGGTCATGCTTAGCCGTCGAAGATGAGTTTTTCAATAAAATTTATACTACACTGTGTGAAAGAATACCTCCATCCTTGTTAACTGATCCAGAGAATTTGCAAATGGTTTTAAAGTAAGTCTCGGAAAAACTATGAACGTGCGCGCCCTGTTGTCTCAAATTTGGCCGAGTTAACTGTTGTTTTTTTTTGTTTTTGCTTTAGTTTTTGTTATGAAAATGTACAGCCGATGTCTAGATTCTTTGTAAAATTTTGTCTTGGTTTTGATTAATTGTTAACAGGACTTGGTGTCGTCCAAATCTGTCCGTAATCATACTCAACTGAGATAAAAAAATCGGACTCGGTCGTCCGATTTTGTATGATTACAGACCGAACTGGACTCCACTTAGTATTATTACCATTATTTATAAGTATGTAGCCGGACGATAACAGTGGAAAATTTTCAGTTCCATTTTGATTTTTTTTGCTTTCGTTTTCTGTTATTTTGTTTGTTTTTCTTTTGTTTTTTTGTTATTTTGCCAATTGCATAATTTCAAACGCACTTCGATAAAGTATGCTCAAAAAAATTCATTGTTCGGGTTACTTTTTAAGAGGCTGTCTCTCTTATTTCCACCCGGTCAATTTTGCGTCAAAAATAATTTTTCCTGAAACTCTGTCAACAGAAAGACTTTACCTAGGAAAGAACTAAATTAGATTTGGTTTGATTCGAAATAATTTTCTGACTGCATTAGGAGCCATAATTATTTTCCAGTCCGCAGGGACCGTCGCAACGTCTCGAAAATTGAAAAATAGGCATATTTTGTAACATTGCAAAATATTTGATTCGCATAGTTAATCCACAGAATTTATATCAGATTGCTTAAAAACCTTTCTAGTTTGCCAAGAAAGTTAGAATTTGCCCTCTCAATATATTTGAAAAGGCGAATTTTAGCATATTCTGACCATTAGAAATCGCCATCGGCCGATGGCCGTAAATAACCTTGATTTAGACGTTAAGTTTTGGGATTTGGGACCTGGTTGACGATTCTATCCTACACAGCCGTTAAGTTTAGACCTTTATAGGTAAAAATATGCAAAAACCCCTGTACGTTTTCGATTTTTCAAAAGTTATGACCGTTTGAATCAGCACATGTACGAGCATTCGCGATTTTTTCGCCTACACCAAAATCGAACCACTGGAGCAGATTTCGTCATAAATACAGCTTATCCACTTTGCAGCCCGGCTTCATGGCTCACTTCAGAATTTTTCTAATAACCGAATTAGTGGAATCCATGATAACTTCAACAGATAGCTAGGTATTGCCTTCGAAAAGTAGGCGGCATCCATCGTGATTCGTGGTATCAAAACAAATGTCGGAATTGGCCGCATTTCGCGGTGAATCACCCATTTAACATCGCTGCAGAGCTGAAGTTTTTTCCAAAATCAGAACATAAACTCTCCATGTCTGGAAGCTGAGGGAGAAATGAAGGTTTTAGGCTTCTGAAGTGAAGAAATAATCGCTTAAATTTAGGTCCAGTTCGATGTTATACTGTTCTCACAAAGGTCCGCACAAAAGAGAAGACCGCTGATAGCTTGTGCTGTAAGTTGTGCCGTATGGTTTTGTTTTGTATCCCAATGTAATATTTGGGGAGAAAAATGCTATACTGTCATTGAAAAGGTCATAGACAGGCCTACACAGACTCCCCTGTGTGGTTTTACGTTTGCGACGCAAAAGCCTTTTATTAAAGCTTCGCTCTGACGAGAATGTCTTTGAGCGATTTACCTCTTTTGTATGATATAATCGGAGGCGTTTTGTAAATTGTTTTCAGCAGTGGCTGATTTTGGATGAGGTTCCATTCTTGCATTAGTATTTGTTTTAAATTTTTAACTCCTGGGTGGTATGCTGTCACAAAAGGCAATATTTTGCCTTTAGTTTTTTTGGTTTGTTTTTTAAGTGTCGACTGCCTTGCGGCAAACGAGACCTCAGATAACGTTTTTTCAATTTGGCTTTTTGGGTAACCACGTGCTTCAAGTCGTGTTTTGAAGTTACACATGGCCTCCTGGAAATTTCTTTCCGAGGAGTTTGTTCTTAGAAGTCAGATAGCTTCTCCTTTAATAAAGCCTTTCTTAAGACCTGGCGGGTGGCAAGATGAATAGTTTGTATATTGAAAGGTCTCGGTCGGTTTGTAGTGAGTTTTGACGTCGAGGATAGCTTCGTATAAGATCTTTCAGCTCTGAAAGCTGATTTTCTATTTTGTCTATCCTGTCGACATCAGTATTTACAGTGTTCCTAAAAGGCGAACGTGATCTTTCACGTGTATTTACATTGTATTGTGATCGAGACTTGGCAATATTAGCCTTTTCAAATTTGTTCTTGTGACTAACAAGTCTACGCTGATGGAAGCGCAGTAGGGCGCTAACGTAATGTTCTTCGGCGTGACTTTTAATAGCGCTTATTTCCTGTCGAAAGGTTTCGTCAGGCGTGACGTTTGCCTTCGCCTTGTATTGAAGCGACTTAGGGCTAGTCTTTTGTTGTAAGTGTCTCTCCAGTTTTCAAATGGAGGTTTCAGTTTTTTGCTTCTTGAACTGGATAGCGCTGATGGTGTCTTCATGTTTCGTCTTCCTTGGCTGCCGCGTGGATCGGCTATTCCTCGGAAGGTTTTCTTTTTGACGGCTTTCTTTTTGAAGGCGTAGACCTTCGTTGCTGCGTTGTTTGGCTAATTCAGCTTTATGCCTTGGCTCGAGTTGTGATGCTGGAGGGCTATCCTCTGGGTCCGATTCTAGGTTCGGATCAGTATACGTTAATTCCATCTCCTCGTCCAGATTTGGACGGTAGTCTGGCGTTTTTGGTGGCCGCAATGGTGTTTCAAAAGCTGACATCTTTTTCAGGTAAAACTGAAAGTGAAGTATATCGTCTAGCAGGACCGGCGGTTTCGATTCTTAAAGAATCTCTTCAGCTGCTTTGTTAAGTCAGGCTGTGTTAATCAGGGACAGGCAGAGAAATTCTCAATTCCAATCCCGCCAAAAAGGGTGGAAAACCATCCTTTTATACTTGGTTTACCTGCGGTTAGGATCAACGGTGTTCCGTTTTCATTGTTTCTCTCTGGAAAGAGAGTAACCAATCATGTGTTGGTATTTTCGACCCGCGCTTTTTCAAAGCTCAGAGGTGTGTTTCTTTGTGAGGCTTTTTTTCGCATTATACGCCGCAAAGGCGTTTAAATGTCGCTTTTTTGTATTTTATCTATCTTTGTACTGTATGTTTGACCTTGGCGCTTGATATAAATTACGTCATATCGAATGTACTTCCCTTTACCGATGCCATAACATTTCCAAACTCTCAGACCGATATCTCCATATTCGAAGTTGTGGAATCTGTTATGCGCGATAGTGCAATCGTTCAGCTTTAAATTCCAAAACGCCAAACTTCAACACATATGTAGACTTACAAGTGGAGTTCTATGACTGATTCTTGAAGAGAATGCAGCTGCAATCCAAAGTTTCAACGGGACATTAAGCGCGAAACATGGCTTTAGTTTTCGAGGTTAGTTCGCAACAACGAGTCCCTTCAAACCATAGAATCTCAAGGGTTTTATGATCCTCCTGAAAAGCGTGTGGTCAAGCGTCGTTCAAAGGGCAGCAAGGAAACAGCAATTGTTTGAATGCTCTGTGTTTGGATGTGCTGAAGTGTTCGAAACCTTTTCGCAGCTGGAGCTGCACCTGGACGTTGGAAAGCATTCAGTCAGCAGGTTGGGTGCGAGTGTTCGAGCTGTTCGTTAGATTCCAGTACACCACTCACTTCTCCCGTGGATACTTCGCCCCACTCGTCTCTACGAACAGGATGGGCCGTAAGCATACCAAGGGGCAGCGTTAGATTTTCAGAGAAGGTAAAAGAATATCTAACGGCACGGTTTACAAGTTGCAGTGGACATGCGAAATGCGAAAAATGAATCAAATGCACGTTTGTTCACTAGAGAACAGTGGCTGACAGTGAGCCAAGTTCAGAGCTTTTTCTCCCGGCTAGCAGCAATGCGGCGAAAAGATCAGGGTGTGATCGGGATATCGCTGGATGAGGAGGAAGATATCCAATGCGTCCAGGAAAATTCCGAGAGACAAGATCTGGTAGACAAAGTTAACAAAGAGATCAAAGTCTCACATCCAATCTGCTACGATACGTAGGACCTCTGTGAACGTTACCACAGTAACACACTTCAGAAATTCAATGTGGTTTTGTTGAGAGCCATCTGTAGTCATTTTGAGATCCCTGTAAAATTGAGAGACAAACTGTCGGACGTGATTAGTGATTTTCAATGTGTTTCTCAGTAGACTTCTGTAAACAATGTCTTATACGGTGGCTGAAAGTGTAGAATATGCTTTACAGATACAAACTACCTTTACTTCCGATATCAAGTTCTGACGGCGTTGTTATAATGTATTATATTATAATATCTAGTAGTCAGTGAAATGTTTTGATGAAATCGATTGAAAATTTACCAAAAGCAACACTTATAACATCTGTTCATACGAAGCATGTGTCAAGTTTTTAACACGTTGGTAGCCGATTTCTCCGGCTATTGACAGGTTGCTGTTCTGTGGACACAATCGACGCGGAACCGAGAGAAGCAAGCTCAGGATATTTAAAATCGATTTATTGATTATATGATATCAAACTCCAGGTAAAAGCATTTATTCTTTTCGTCCAAAATTTTTCTCCCCAAATATTACATTGGGATACAAAACAAAACCATACGGCACAACGTACGGCACAAGCTATCAGCGGTCTTCTCTTTTGTGCGGACCTTTGTGAGAACAGTATAACATCGAACTGGACCTAAATTTAAGCGATTATTTCTTCACTTCAGAAGCCTAAAACCTTCATTTCTCCCTCAGCTTCCAGACATGGAGAGTTTATGTTCTGATTTTGGAAAAAATTCAGCTCTGCAGCGATGTTAAATGGGTGATTCACCGCGAAATGTGGCCAATTCCGACATTTGTTTTGATGCCACGAATCACGATGGATGCCGCCTACTTTTCGAAGGCAATACCTAGCTATTTGTTGAAGTTATCATGGATTTCACTAAT